CAATTTATTAGGGCCTCATCTCTTCCATGTGTTTTCTGCATGTGTGGGAATTAATGAAAAAGAGTACCCCATTCATATTCTACCAGTTTACCTTCCTTAGTAGATAGAGAGAATAGTTTCCCATAACTCAGCCAGAAACATGTAAAGTAATAATATTCTGATTTCCCTGGCTTGGATCATGTGCCCACCCATTTTCCATGGGCTCTTGGTTCCTTAATTGACAGTCTGTGGGATTAGAATAAGAAAGTCTCCAATGAAAATATAAGATGTTATTATCAAAAGAAATGTGAAGGGATACCTAAAAGCAAATGTCAACAGACACTTGATAAATGATGATTGAACAGAAAACACAGTTGAGAAATATTTATCTTGAACAGCATTCCATGAGCCTTCAGTGGGTTGCTAACTCACTGAAAATATATGCAAAACTTTGCCACCATATGAATCTGTCCAGGGAGGCGTCCAATCTTAATGATGTACAAAGGATTCCAGAAAGAGTATCAGCCCTTGGAAATAAAATGTTTATGCTTCCTAGCCCAGCCCGCTATTAACTTCTCCTGATTTAGTAGACTGCAAATGTAAAAGCGGAGCCATTTGAGGCAATGTTACAAATTAGGAAGTATAAGGATATGGAGTTAAGTTTTATTTCACTCTTACTTCTTAGTCCATTTGTGCTGCTGTGACAAAATGTCTGAGACTGCATAATTTATAAACAATGGAAATATTTATCACAGTTCTGGATACAGGAAAGTCCAACATCAAGGCATCAGCAGATTTGGTGTCTGGTAAGGACTGCCTTCTACTTCCATTATGGCACCCTGAACAATGTGTCCTCACGTGGCAGAAGATGAATGGCAAAAGGCTTACTTAGCTAGTACCCTTGAGGTCTTTTATATTGGTACTAATTCCGTTTATCATCTCCTAAAGACATCACCTCTCAAAACTATCAGATTGGGCCCTAGGTTTCAATACACAAATGTTGGGGGTTGGAGGAGGGCATATATTCAAACCACAGCAGTTCTCCTCATTAATCTGTCTTTATCTTAATCTGATCATTTGTTAAACATGAATCATATCCCCTTTGTAGATAAAACTAGTTTAGCACAGAGCTTGTACATAGTGGATTTTTCAGTACAGTTATATAAGAACTGGGTAAACAACAGGACTTGTACATAAGTGGTTCCTCCTACTCAACATGTAATCATATTTGGAGTAGTGTCTTAGTCTGTTTTGTGTTGCTATAACAGAATATCACAGACTGGATGATTTTTAAAGAAAATAAATTTATTTCTGAAAGTTCTGGAGGCTGGGAAGTCCAAGGCATGACACTGGCAACTGGCATGAGCTTCTGTGATGCCTTATCCCATAGCAGAAGAATGGAAGGGCATAAAAGCATGTGAGATGATACAGAGAGACGATGAGGGGCAAACTCCATCCTTTTATCCAGAACCCACATCAGTGATAAATAACTCACTCCAGAGATAACAGCCTTAATCCATTTATGAGAGCAAAGCCCTCAGGCCCTAAAAACTTGTTAAAGGTCTGACCTCTTAATACCATTACAAAGGCAATTACATTTCCACATAAGTTCTGGACGGAACATTTAAATGATAGCAAGTAGGCCATGTTGTTTAGCAGTGAGGCATCCAGACCTATGTTAGTTTTCTTGTAGGCAAATTGCTTGGGCCCTCCCTCTGACAACATTCCCTCTCAGGGAGAGCCTAGGGAATATTTTGAGACGTCAGTTGCTTTTCATTCTATTTACTGTCCCAAGCTGGTGCCCTAGCCATCTCTTGTGTTCACTTCTCAAACCAGCTAAGAGAATTTCCTAAAGAAGTCTGTGCTACCTTAGGCTCTACTGATTTATTGGTGAACTCTTCACTCTTTAAAACAGATTGAAGAAAATGCTTAACCCCAAAAGGTGAATTTTTAAAAGAGAACTACTAACTTCCCCCCTTTCCCCAGTGTCAGAAATAATCCACTTATTAACACCCACAATTAAATCAGGTGCTGAAGCTTTGGTTTCATAACTACCCAGGATAATTTGTTATTGGGGAAAATAGCATATTAGAGTGGTAGAGAATATAGACTATGTCATATTCATTCTTCTGTATCAAGAGCCAACGTTTTTGGACTTGATTCATTTTTACAAAACAAAGTTAGCATGTTAGTGGTTGAAAAATATGTCTTTTTTGGAACTAATTGTCATGTATACACTGTAGCAAACTTGAAGTTTAGAATTTTAAAAATCATAGTGGCTCAATTATATTTGTACTTTTTTTTGAATGAATTTGATTTCTTGATTATTTTTAATAGGGACATTAATTCGTCTTTTCACTGATTCATTCAATAAACTTTTATAGATGGCCTGCTTTATTTCAGGCACCAGGACATATTTGAAAGTCATTTGTTTATTAAACAAATGTAAGCTGATCTATAAACTGAGAGTTATATTTGTTCTTCAAATAGTTTTTAAATGTCTCCCTTCACTTCTGAATAGATTAATAATAGAACAAAGCATATAATTTTTAAATGGCCTGGTACTTTGTATTAGCATTTCTGTTAGTCATAGGTGTTGTCTCTAGTGGAATGTCAACAAATGATACTTGAATATTTTAAACTTTATGATTAATAAAATCTCATAATATCTCAATTGTAACATAATATTTATGCCAAAAGCAACATGTTAAGAGTGTAATATAAAAATAATATATCTAGGAGCTATTTTTTTTATTCTTGTCATTCCTTTGATGTAATCTATTTCCACGTTGACTAATGTGAAAATAATGTTTCTGAAGTTTTGTGTACCCTCCAAATCTTTATCTTTTGTTATTTTTTGAATTAATTAGGTTCAGATCTTTGTTTTCCCATATCCATGTATTATTTAATTCAACACATTTTTAGTGAATACCCTGCACATAATAACTTGATGTGCTACTTAATATGAAAATGCTGTTTTCAATGAAGCATTCTTTTGAAAATTATTTTCTCAGGAGGTATTATTAGGACTTGTGCTAGTTAAATAAATAAGCAAAATGAGGAAGTGGAGAAATGGAATAATAAACTTTAATGAGTGCTACATGCACAAAAATAAATAGGGATACATTGTAAAACGTGTTCGATGAAAAGACACATTCACTCTGAGGAGTGGTATCTCAGCTGTTTTTAAAGATGGGATTGTGTCCCCTGTGATAGCTGAGGAATAATGTTTTAGACAGGAAGATCATCAAATTCTTCAGTTCTGTGTAGGTAAGAGACAGGTATGTTTGAGGAATGGAAAGGAGGCCAGTGTTGCTGAAGCAAAGGGCTCAAATAGGACAGTATAGACCTTGTTAAGAAGTTTAAATTTTGGCTAAATAAGCTGGGAAAACATTAGTTTAAAAAAAATTAAATTATTTTATTTTATTTTATTTTAAGACAGAGTCTTGCTCTGTCGCCCAGGCTGGAGTACAGTGGCACAATCTCGGCTCACTGTGATCTCTACCTCCCAGGTTCAAGGGATTCTCCTGGCTAAGCCTCCTGAATAGCCGGGATTATAGGTGCCCACCACCACGCCTGGCTAATTTTTGTATTTTTAGTAGAGACCAGTTTCACCAGTTGGCCAGGCTGATCATGAACTCCTGACCTCAAGTGATCTGGCCACCTTGGCCTCCTAAAGTGCTGGGATTACAGGCCTGAGCTGCCGCGCCGGGCCAAACATTAATTTTTTTAGAAAGCTGAGGGGTTACACAATATAATTTAAGTTTGAAAGATGTACCTGGCTGCTTTGTGGATAATAGATTGTAGATGGACAAGAGTAAGAGTGAGGGAGCCAATTATTTGATGATTACAGTTATATGAGAGAGAAGAACATATAACTAGAAAAGGATATACCAAATGCTCAAATACCAGAGATTATATAGCAAGATCAGCTGATGTCATGGACACATGGTGGTAGATACGGCATTGAAGTAGTGTCAGGTAGCAGGGCAAACACCCAACCCCTTGATACCATGTTTTTTTCAGTTAATGATTATTTGTCTTGTGACATGTTGGTCTTGTAATTTCCACATGTAAGTTTAATATTATTCAGATCTTATTGTGCATTAAATACTATATACATTTATTTCTCCCAGAACTAATATTGACTAATACCTGAGTTGATAATACAATAAAATATGCCATGAAATAAATAAGTTACAGCATTAATATAATGTAAAATATTTTCGAAGTGATGTATATATATACATATATATAGCAAATGTATTTTAAAATGCCATTTTAAAAAGACTGAAGCACTATTTTTCACTCTATATATTACTATGATCATTTATGCTGTAACTACCCGATAATTTGTTTTTTAATTGAAATAATTATGTCATTAAAATTGAGATGAAAGTTTGCAAGAATTAACTGCTTTCTGAATTTGTGTTTGCAAATTAATTAAATTTGGTAAAATAATGTACATTAAAATTATAATAATAAAACAAATTTAATACATGTTCATGAGAGAATTACAAAATATTTTTTAAGTCCAGCTGTGTATCTGCTTATATTAAATTGCAGATGGGCTATCAATGTAGGCGAAATTGCTGTGCTCATAGTCTTCAACCTTCAATCTTTTTATTAATGTTCCTTGTATACTTTAAAAATAGAGACCAAAAAACATTTTTATTACATCCTATAAATTAATTTAGAAAAAAATTTCTGAATTAACGGCACATTAATACAAACACATCATTGATTTAGATGCACTTCCAACTAGAAAATATTTTCTTAAGTAAATTTCACAGTGCTTTAACCTCTTCTTGGCAGAGATGTTATGAAGTTTTATAAGTATTATTCAAAATGGTGACCTACATTTAAACATATATTTTGAATAATAATTCAAAAATGTAATGTTCACTTTCTGGTTATTTTTTAGTGTTCATTAGTTCTTAATCGCATTGAAGTAAATTCATTTTCTTTTTTTATTTTATGCTCTATTTAGACTTTAAAGGCATAGTGCTTTTATTTTGCAGATTGTTGCCTTGCGTGAACAAAATGTTCATATACAAAGAAAAATGGCATCAAGCGAGGGATCCACAGAATCAGAACATCTTGAAGCGATGGAACCTGGACAGAAAGTCCATGAGAAGGTATGACACACACCACATGCTCTTACATGGAAATGTTTACTTCTTATATCATTTGACAGGAAATATAAAAACCACATAATGAACATTTTTTAGTTTTTGTTGATTCTTTGGTCAAAAGTTCAAGGTTTATGATGATTTCCTTTCTCATTTTTTGTTCTTATTTCGATTCTCTTATATATAATACGTATGTGTATATGTTGTGTGTATGCATATACACATATTTGAATTTTTTACCTGCTTTTAATTGATTCTCTTAAAAGTATTTCAATTATATAGAATTGAATTTATAATATATAAAAATAATATAATTTAAAGTACACATACACACATTGTGTGTGTGTATATATGGCATATACATATAAGTACATATATAGGCAGGACTATTTTAAGTCCTAAACAACACTTTTGAATTGTAAGTGATATAATATACAGTTGGTAACTTACTGGTTGTTTATGACTGCAAAAATTGTTGGTAAACTTTTATTTGATTGGTATTCTTCCTGCATTGTTTGAGGCCTCAGCGGTACTCTTGTTAATGAGAGATAACATAAAATGATATGTGAAGTCCTGGGACTTTTACCATTTTTTATAATGCAATGATTCTCCCTTTGGGTGAAGTTTAGTCTCACTCAAAGGAAACTAGCACTCTGTTGCTCCACTAGCAAAAGACAAAAGGTTTCTGTGCAGGACTACTTCTTTCCAACACAAGAGGAAGAAGGTAAGTTATTGGCAGGTCCAGAATCAGATGAAAATTACACAGAGGCATTCACACATCCTGTGTTGGAAACTCAGGAGAATCATTTGCCTGTAACAAGTTATATCTTTGGATTCTTAAGCTCCTAAATGAAGACCACATGAATCAGCTAGCTAAATTGCTGTAATTGAAAATGTCAAGAGTTTCTAAAACCTAGCCATTAAGAAGCAAGTGACTGGACAATACAATAAATAGCATTAGAATTCTTACTATAAATTAAGTTTATCATTTCCTTACTTATGTGGTTAGAAAAAATAGAGGGACTTCTTATGTTTCTTCCTTCAAGTAGAAAAGCAAAATAAAGTAAATAAATCAGATGAATTTCCAGAAAGAAGCTTCTATTCTGGTGGCTGACAAATGAACAGATCTTCATATAAGACCACAAATTTAGCCTTTAGCCATGTATTTAATAGAAATCTTAAGCTCAATATAAAATGTAAACTACAATTTGACGTATTTCATCAGCTGTATCTGAGATTAGAATAAAATTATTTCTCTTTCCTTCAACTAAATGAACTGATACTGCTTCAGTAGATATACCACCAAGCTCTTTAATAAGGCATTTTCACTCTACACTCAGTTTAGGAAACCAAGATGTAATTTGATATTGCTCTTTCATTTTAATTATGTCATTAGTAGTATACCTCTCCTCAGAGAATTATAGAATCACAATTGGTTCGTTATAAAAATGGATTTTATGGTCATCCAGTCTTTTTCATAGAAGGCTACAAATTACTGTTTTCTATAATAATGCTGTATTTATGCTAATCTAGTCTAGAAATGAAGAAATATACCTTTCTCAGACATGAACAACTTAAGATTTTGTTTATCTTCTACCAGATTACTTCATACTTACAGCATTCTTCTTATGGAGGGGGAGGGCAGGGAATGCTCACACATATATATTTTTTTCAAATATTGTTTCATCAAGATACTGTTAGCAGCAGCAAACCATACAGGTCTGTAGCAACCTCAATTCTTGCCTTCTCAGAAGAAAGAAATTGACTGTGGGCATGAGGCAAAGGGAGAGACAAAGGCAAGTTTTAGGGCAGGAAAGTTTTAGAGCAGGAACAAAAGGAAATAAGTACAGCTGGAAAATGGCCAAATGGGCAACTTAAGAGATTCAAGTGTGCAATTTGACCTCTGAATTGGAGTTTTATACACTAGCATGCTTCTGGGGTTGTGGTACTTCTCCCCTGATTCTTCCCTTGGGGTGGGCTGTCTGCATGTGCAGTGGCCTGTCAGCACTTGGGAGGGGCCACATGCACAGCCTGTTTACTCAAGTTGTATACATGCTCACTGGAGGCCTTTTTCCCTTAGCAGTTGAGTGTTCCTAGAGGAATGTTCTAGTCCTATACCAGTTAAACGCTGCCATTTTGCTTCTCAGTGCGCATGCTTGAGTCCACTCGCCCGACTCCTGAGATCTTATCTGGAAACTGCTGATCACCAGATTCAGATGTTTCCTATTTATTAGAGACTGTCTTTCCCTGGCACTGGCAGCAACCAATAATTGTTTTACAGAGAGAGTTTAACAGCCACCTGACCATCACCAGTTGGTTGCCTAACTACCTACTCTAACAATATAACCACTAAATATTTGAATATGCAGACATTAGAGAATGTAAGACAGTTTATGACAGATTATTTTTCAGGAACTGGTTACAGAATTAGAATGAGGATTTACGCATAAATGATATTTGTCTCTATTAATCTTCACAGATATAAGTGCACATATAGAGGATTTTGAGTCATTGGTGACCCAAAGCACTTGTCTTTAACTTTCTTTGACTTCCAGTTCTTAGGGAAGGCATTTCAGCCAGTGGAGAAAAGAAATTGTGTGCCAATGCTAAGTCAATCACTTCTTGTGTTGGTGTAACTAAAGGTTTTTTAACATTTTATTACTGGTATTCATTTCCTTTTTTCAGCTTCCTTGAATTTCAAGAAGAGTGATTTCTAAATGCTTTAGAATAATTATATATTATTATCATGCATAATATCATGCCCATATCCTTTAGTGTGAACCTAAAATATGTACAATATGTCATATATATTTAGTCTAAAGTTAAAAATATGTAAACTGTGTTTCAATTTATATTAATCCTGTGATTGATTTCTCAGGATGATCCAATAAAGTGTTGTAATAATTAGTTCTATTTATGTCACATTTTTAAATTTATTTTTATTTACATATTTTTGAGACAGTCCAGGCTATAGCGCAGTGGTATAATCTTGACTCACTGCAACCTCCCCGTCCTGGGCTCAAGCAATCCTCCCATCTCAGCTTTCCAAGTAGCTAAGACTACTGGTGCGAGCCACCATGCCTGGCTAATTTTTGTATGTTTTGTAGAGACAAGAGTTTCACCATGTTGCCCAGGCTGGTCTTGAACTCCTGAGCTCAAGCAATCTGTCCACCTCAGCCTCCCAAAGTGCTGGAATTACAGGTGTGAGCCACCGTGCTCAGCTGTACCACATTTCTTTACCTGACATTTCTTGATAAAACATACAACAGTATCCTGATTATTATTTTCATTGTCCTTATATAAATACTTCCAAGTTATACACATAAAATATTATAGAGCATTTTTAATATCAAAATCATCCTCCATGACATGATTATTCGAGGTATATTAATGCCATAAAACAAGTTGTCAAAGTATTGTAATTTAAAGCCTATTACTTATTTTTTTAATTGAGAACTTTTAAAAAGGTATATTCAAACAAAAGAAAAGAGAATATTATTTTGGCAGATTATCAACGATGATTGTAATGTTAGTGTGTAAATTGAAAAGTGGTTGATCAAGACAAAAACGTAAAACAATTTTTAGATATTAATAGAGCTAAGAAAGTGACTTCTAAATCCTAGTCGGAAGGATTACCCTTTGTTTAGGAAAGTTAATTTATTTAAATTACACAGTCAAGGTGGGTGATTAACCAACAGAAGATGTTTTATGTCAGTGGATTAAGAAATGTTTGACAAAATAGTTGACAAAAATAATCTCATAAAAACACACTCTGAAATAGGCCTTATTATTCATGGAAAAGTCTGGTAATTATTATCAGCCTTTTTAAAAGAAAACAATGAAAAGAAAAAACACTTAACTGAAATGAGTTTAAATATTTCTGTGTGGTCTTAAATGTAATTGATTGTTTTAGAAGAATATAAATATTCACAGGATAATACAAATTTTCAGAACACTAAATTCCGCCTTTTCAGAACTGGGCTCTAATAACTTTTTCCTATTTCTTTCTAGATGGAAGTTAATTGGTGAATTTTTAAAAGTAAACATGCTGCTCTTGTAAAGGAGATAATAATGCTTGTTACTTCTATAATCTGTACTTCTAATTATTTTTTCAACTGCAAATATTTGCTAACTGATGTGATTCAGTAGAATATTAGATATGGTAGAGATTCAGAAGATATAGTCTGTAATAAATTTGGTAAGAATCTACAGTGAGAAATAAACATGCCCAAATTAATATCATAAAACATGATAAATATTGTGTTATCAAGAATAATATTGAGTTTAAAAATAAGGTTAATTAATCCTCATTGAGTGGTGTCAGAGAGGCAATGTGGAATAGCGATTTGTTTGAAGTTCCTATCTCTGCCAACTACTAGCTGTGTTAACCTTACCCTTTAACACTCCTGAGTCTCAGTTTCAGATAAAATAGTCTTGCCAACTTACAGAGTTATAAGAATAGAAACACTATATTCAATAAATTACATCATCTTAGGCATATTGTATACAAGCAATGAATGCTTATTCTATTTGTTAATACTGTGTTTTCAATCAAATAAATATTTAGTGGCAACCTTATTAAAGGTACTAGGAAATGGGCCCTATTCTAGGTGATGGGAATATAATGATAAATAAGATAGTTGAGGGTATAGGCAATAAACAAATATACACAGTGTAAAAGGGCGTAGATATGACCAAGGGACCCGTACAAGGTGAGTGGTGAAGACATTAAAGAGGCAGATCTTTTTAAGATGGTGGGATTTGAACTGAAGCCTGAGAAATACAAGGAGTCAACAATATGAAAAAGCTTTCACAAAACGATAGTCACACTTAACTATATGCAGTGAATTTTTGTACATGTCATGTATTAGTGACTGAGACACTAGTTCTTCACAGATTGAAGAGTGGAGTTGACTGACTCTTCAATGACCTTACAACAGATGAGGCACATCCTCGGCATGTCACCTGAGGTTCTTCCCAAGCTGGCTGGCCTCTTCTCGCCTCCC